GTCAGAATTCTGAGATAAAAGTCAGAATTCTGAGAAAAAAGTCAGAATTCTGAGATAAAAGTCAGAATTCTGAGAAAAAAGTCAGAATTCTGAGAAAAAAGTAAGAATTCTGACTTTAATCTCAGAATTCTGAGATAAAAGTCTGAATTATGAGATAAAAGTCCGAATTCTGAGAAAAAAGTCAGAATTCTGAGATTAAAGTCAGAATTCTGAGAAAAAAGTCAAAATTCTGACTTTTTTCCCATACTATACTGAAATAAAATAAAAAAAATTTTTTTTTTTTTCAGTGGCCCTAATCCTCTTCCGTAGCATTGCAAGCGGTACAAAATAATAAAAAAAAAATGTTATTTCTTATGTAGTAAGATAAAATAGGGCTGGGATCTGTTTTTCTTTGTGAGAACCAAATAAAAAAAAATAAACAAGCTTTTATCAATCAAAAAATTTGTTTTTTTTATATATATATATTTGAGTTCACCTTCAGCTTTGACACATCAAAACCAACTAAAGGAACAGACTGGATGTAGAAAACACTCTGACATCAGCTGTTTTTAATACTGAGCTCAGGTGTCTCGATAAAAACAAATAAAATTAATTAAGTCAGTCTTACTATAATTTTCGTTTTAGATTTTGTTCCCAATTCATAAAGTTAAAATGTGATAATAAGGGAGCCCCAGTTTTATAAATACAGGTTTATAATATAACTTTATTTTGTGGTTATTTCGATTCCTTAAAAACTGCCCGGCAACATTTGTTGTTTTTTATTTTAGCTTTAAAGCGAAAAATGCCGAAGAATTAAATGCTAAAAAAAAAAAGATTATGTAATTTTTTTTTTTATTATATAATCAGTTATTGTACGTTCCACCTTTGGACAATTATCAGTACTTTTTACTGAGAGGGGGACTCCTGGTAAGACAAAATACCCAAAGGGGGACACATGTCAAAGATGGTTGGGAACCACTGCTGTAAAAGTTGCACAATAGACCAGAATCTGTGGTTAGCTGCACTGCTTACTTGAAATACCTACAAATCATAACTTTTGGATGAAGTTTGGGTTGAAGTTTCGAGTAGACGTCAAATTTTTGTGTCTGTTTGTGTCAGGGATGTTCGGAAGTTCAAGGAGACCAAAAAGCACTTTGACAGGGTGCGGGAGGATATGGAAATAGCGCAGGTGAAGAATGCTCAGGCGCCCAGGAACAAGCCGCACGAGGTCGAAGAAGCCACCAGCTCACTCAGCATCACCCGCAAATGCTTCCGACACCTTGCTCTAGACTACGTCCTGCAGGTTAGTCAAAAGATCAGTAAAGTGTAAACAAACAACCAGTAACATGAATAAAGAAGATGGATTAGCCTGTTTTCCAGCAGCAACATTACTGGCGAAGGACAAAGAAAACTGATTCCGAGTGATCCCACGGATGGTTCTGCCCCCATTTTTAGGTTCTAGCTTGTCTCCTGACATCCCTCTCATGCATCTGCTGTAGATCCGACCCTTTTGAACCTTTAATTCATTGTGTCTCTATGCAGAGAAGGTCAAAGCTGCAGGCATTTCACTGTATGTCTAAGTGACAGATTTAATGTAGCACAAAATATCTTTCAGGTTTGCATCTTTACGACATACAGTGCAAAGCTTTTAACAGAGCAATCCCTCTGGGGCTGTGTTCACCACTGTAGTGCGAGGGAAAAAAGTCAATGCGATCATTTATAAGAGGGCACTCTGAGGATAGTCTATCATTTCAGTCGGACTTTATGGTGTTGCTGTACTCTCAGAAAAGGGAAATGAAGGGCTCCCACTAGAGGGAGTCATCCCACTCGCTTATTTTTACTCATGTTTGTCGTCGTTTTTCCACAGATTAACGTCCTTCAGGCAAAGAAGAAATTTGAGATCTTGGATGCGGTACGTCGGGGAGAATTTACAGACACTTCTCTCTGCAGGGACTTCATGCTGATCTTTAACCTTCATGTTTGTCCATGCAGATGCTCTCATTCATGAACGCCCAGTACTCGCTGTTCCAGCAGGGCTACAACCTTCTTGATGAGCTTGACCCATATATGAAGAAACTTGCCGCTGATGTAAGCAAAGTATCTCTTCATATCTTTGTATAAAATATCCCTTCCATCCTTTCGTATGTCTGTCTTCTTTCCTTCCCGCCTGGTTTGCATATTTCCGTTTCTGACTATAGAAATAGGCTATATTAACACAAGAGGACATTTAAACTTTGAAATATGTGCTAAATGTTTGGAAATGTATTCATTTTTTCCCTTAAAATATGTAAGAGCCCTGTTGTCCTGTACTCCAGCTTTTATTTCACATTAAAATGTGAAAATAAAGCTAGATTTCTTGAGGCATTTTAGATCTTTGCCGTTTTTCTCTGTTTAAATTAGGATGATCAACCTTAAATTACACATTTAGTCCAAATTAGATTGATGACAATAATTTCAGAAAATTGAGTAAGATACTCCAGATAGCGCTTTTATTTCGCATCAACTAATGCAAAAAAGTCGATTATCGGCTTTGTTTACAATCTAACTCCATCCTCTAAGCTGATCAGAGCCAATTTTTCTCGGGTTTCGCAGAATCAGAAGATGACCAGAGGATTAAAACATCCTTACACTGCAAAAACGATCTAAAAATGAGTAAAAAAGTCTTAAATAAAGTACATTAACCCATAA